GTTTAGCTAAACTAGCTAATAAGCAGAGGCGAAAGCAGAGCAGAAGCAAGAGCAGAAAAAGAGAGCAAGCAAAAGCAGCAAGCTGAAGCTGGAAGTGAAAAAACAGCCCTATGTACCGCTTTGTCTCTGTGTTCCTGATAAGAGAAACCCAAACAAAACTTCCACTCTTCAGAGCCGGTCTTAAAGGCACAGAACAGATGAATGGGGATATACAAGCATCATAACGTCACCCCAGGACAGTTTTGAAGACACTTGGGTCTTAAAGACTGGGCACAGCTGCACTGTCAACTCCTGGGTATCAGGAGAGCAGCAGCGTGCCCAGAACTGGTTGTTGTGTTGCTGGAAGAGCTGGGGAAACTGGGCCTGCAGGTTTCACACATGAGAGTCACAGAATGGGTTGGGTTGGAAGGGATCACAGTGGGTCATCTGCTCCAACCTCCCTGCTCAACCAGGGTCATCCCAGGGCACACGGCACAGGATTGTGTCCAGATGGTTCTCAAATATCTCCTGTGAGGGAGACTACGCATCTCTCTGGGATTCCACTGTGCTGATCTCTCTCCAATGCACTCTTACCCTTCAGCTTCTCTTTGTCACTGGAAAAATTATTTCTGAAGTAATTTTACAAAGTTTTGCAAAAAATCAGAATCTCTGTTATATCAGAGTGTGTTTTCTTCTAAATCAGTAACATAGATTCATTGAAATATTGGCCTGGAAAAGACTTTTTGTCTACTTGCTCTTTTCATTGTGATGTGCATATTAGGTGTACCTTTATTCAAAGTCATGCCTGATCGTTCTCTGATGTTTATTAAAATATATAGTGAGGAAGAACTATGTGGATTTTTCTTCTCATTGATATCAAAAAATTCTCCCTGTCATCCAGTTGAAGGGATGAGAGATGTCTACTCTGTTAGACAGTAACTTTATTTGTGCTCATTCTCCTCTGGAAGACACAGGAAACAATTACTACTATCCTTTACAATAACCAAAGTCAGTTAAAATGAGTCTGATTTCAACACGTCCTGATATGCTGTATTTTCTTCTCTATGTAGTTTTTATTCCTGTTTTACAGTCTCCTCACCTGAGACATTGTTTCTGTTGGATAAACCAGAATAAAACTGAGTAACTGCATCTCACGGTATTGCTACTTTATCTGAAAATGGGATTTCCCTTTCCCTACAGCACCATGGCATTGCTGGCTGCTACCATCCCTCCCAAGTTTATTTTTTCCTTGCTGCTACTTTAGCTAGTTACATCCAGCTGTCCTTTTACCAAGAAGTGATCTTGTGGTTTCCACAGCATGAACTGTCCACTGCTAGTTCATTCCATGTCAGTTGCTGATTGAAGCAGCAATTTTGACACCAGGCAATTTGGAGTCAAGGTGATTTGTCACAGGCTCCAGCAGTTAGCAGTGTTGGGTGGCTGCTTCTAAGGAACCAAAGCAGAAGTCTTCCCAGGCAGCATGCCTGGCAGCAGGTAACACCATGGCAAGTCCTTCCCTCACATGGACTCTCAGGGTGCTGAATGAGCTGGGATCTTGTGCCCATTCAGCACAGCAAAGCCTGAGCTGAATATAGACAAGGCTTTCACCTTTCACTGTGACCCCGGTGTGAAGTTCAACAAGTTGACTGGATGGCTGACTGGGTTGAGAGTGGAGGAGGAGAGATGCCAGGTTGTGCCCTGGAGCCAGAGGTGTGTGACACTTCCCTTAATCTCATTACAGTTCCAGTTCCAGTTCCTGCTTGTGGCCCAACCTGACCTGTCTCCTGCCATGTTTCCAGTGAATTGTTGGCTCACAAGCAGGCAGTGATGAGCTCCTGTCACATCCACAGCCTCTTCCCAGGCACAGCAGGCTGAGCAAGCTGGGGCTCTTCAGGCCTCACAGCAAGCTGCCAGAATCCAGGGGGCCTACAGGGAAGCTGGAGAGGGACTCTGTCAGGAACAGTGGTGACAGGACAAGGAGTAATGAGTACAAATGGAAAGGGGAAATTCAGGCTGGATATTAGGAAGAAGTTCTTTACTGTGAGGGTGAGGCACTGGAACAGGTTATCCAGGGAGGTTATGGGTACCCCAGCCCTGGCCAGTGCTCAAGGCCAGGCTGGATGGCAACCTGGTCTTGTGGGAGGTATCCCTGCACAGGACAGCAGGCTTGGGACTAGAGGATCTTCAAAGGTCCCTTCTAACCCTTAGTGTTCTATGATTTTGTGATTGGTTCTATGCAAAATTTGCCAGGCACTGCAGTCGGGTGGGTTACCTGGTCAAGATGGAGGGGCAGGTGGCATGCACAAAAAAAAGAAAAGTAGAAAAATGGAAAAGGAAAAAAAGGAAATATGATGTGCTTTAAGAAATGAGTGAGGCAAGATTTTGTACAAAGACAGGAGATGCAGAGATCAAGAGAAGACTCAGATTTGAGACCTAGCAAATGAGAGAGAAACAGGAAGGGTTTTAAACTGCTACTGACAAAGGCCTGGAAGACCAGCAGGCAAGAGTCACTGATTTGGGTCAGTCTTGCTGTGATAGCTGCTCTTCCTGTGGCTGCTGAGTGCCTGTTGCTGGTGTCTGTAAGGTGCAGTCCTGAGGGTGGAATGCTTTTGTCCTGCCTGTGTGCCCGGCAGCCTGGTCTGCTAAAAAAAAAACCCCAGAAAAATAAAAAACCTAAATCACAGAATCACAGACTGGGTTAGGTTGGAAGGAATCACAGTGGGTCATCTGCTCCAACCTCCCTGCTCAACCAGGGCCGTCCCAGAGCACACGGAACAGGATTGTGTCCAGATGGTAATGTGTCCTCTCTGGGTAATGTGTTCCAGTGTGTGGTCACCCCACAGTAAAGAAGTTCTTCCTCAAATCCTAGCGGAACTTCCTGCAGGTCAGTTTGTGCC